TGCTCTCTCTTTCTAGTCCCTGTCATTTATTTTATTTTATTATGAAAAGTTCTGTTATATTGAAAGGAAAGCTTTTATTTTGAAGGTAAAAAACAGCTAATTTCACAGAAACTTCAGCTTTTATTTTGAAGCTTTGAGACAGTTTTCTGCTGTTTGTCAGGTTGAGTGAGTGAAATGTTAATGAAGACGTATAAAAACTTGTTTCACAGCGTGAGGCTGCAAGTTCCCTTTCATTAAAACACAAATCCTCTATCATCATAAAGTAATCAGACTACAGTTACAGCAGGTTACAGCAGGAGGCTTGTAAACATGACGTGTTGCAGTGTGAGGCTGATGGTGAGTGTCGGCGTGTGCACCTCACCTTGCGTTGTATCGGTGACAAAGCGGCGTGCTGTAAGCTGCTGTGGTGGCACAAACACAGATGGATTACGGCTGCGGCGACAAGGATTTCCTGTTAATCTCTGATTGAAGCTGCAGCTCATCAGGCTTTAATCTGAGCCTGGCCCCGATCCTCAGATTACAGCCTCTTACTTCTGAGGGGGGGCTTCCAGGTGAACACGGTGCTGGAGCTCGATGAATATTAATGAGCTCTTGGCCCTTCACTGAGCATGCACACAAAAAACTGAAAACAGACTGTCAGCAAATGGGGCTTTTATTTTGAAATTACACTTTAAAGCAGCCTGCTAAATTCCTGTAACTAAATGGTAAATGGTGATTTTATTTATATTTTATTATTTTATTATCTGATAAAATAATTGACTTTTCACTATTGTAACGTTCTCTAACTAAGGCCTTTTATTTTGAAAAACAAATCACCCTACTTTCTATAACTGACTCTTACTGTGAAAGTCTTGACAGTATGAACTATCTAACTGAGCTTTTACTTTGTAAATCTGTCAGCAGTATTGAGTCTGAATAGATTTTATTGTGAAATTTGAAGATTGCTGTGATTGATGGATCAGTTTCATGTGACAGGTGGCATGTTTCTGGTAGTTTATAGATGTATGACATCATCAGTGTGAGACCTGATTGGTGACTGGAGCATTATTGATAGGCGATCAGGATGATTGAGATCAGTTTTTGGGCTGATGGCGGACGCTGCAGCTTCCTGTGTGGATGAATTTGAGGGTTCTGGTGGTTGTGACTGAGAGGTTGATCCTGTTAATTACGCTCTCAGACCGAGAAGGCGGGGGTGGTAACTCTCTGTCCTCCCCGTCACGGCGATGCTCGGGGAGGAGGATTGGAGGCTCGCTGAAGGAGTGAAAGGTTTGCGGGAAATGAGGGAATTATCTGCGGCCGGCCGGAACGAGCTACGAATGGAAGGAATAATCTGCTTGCTTGTCATCTGAGGAGATCATTGTTGCCGCTGCGGCTGCTGTTTGACCTTCACTGTGTAAACAGAGGATCAGGTGGAGACGACCACCAACACCTGACACCACACAGAAAGTCACCTACATGCAGGAAAGAGGAACCAAACAGCAGCTGGGCGTGTTCTTCTGTTGGCTTGTCCCAAGCACTGCTGACCTCTGACATCACAGCCACCTGACCACCTTCAGACTTCACATACATGTATTAAAGTGTGTGTGTGTGTGTGTGTGTGTGCGTGTGCGTGCAGGGAGCATGATAAAAACCCTGAGCTGTTCTTCAGCACTCTGCTCAGACTGAAGGAGCGAGGACTCGACTTCCACCTGTCCGTGCTCGGAGAGACCTTCACCGACGTGCCCGGTACACACACAAATACACGCACACACACACGTGGGAAGGAAAAAATCCCTTTTAACCTCCAGCAGAACCAGGCTCGAGGAGTCCAGCAGCTCCTCCTCTCACTGGTTCTCAGGCGGCAGTTGAACCATCTTCTAAGGGTCAAAGGTCACTGCTGCCCCTGTGTTTCTAACAGATTGTATCATCAGCTGATGATGGGATTGTGTGTGTGTGTGATATTAAAGTTTTAGAGCAGCCTTTAAATCAGCTTCATGAGCACTGAATTTAATCCCATTAGGACGACTCTAATCGACTCTGATTGGCTAAGAGGGTCACAGTATTGATTGTGACACGCACACACACACACACACACAACATCTGCAAGTTATTTCATTCTGTTTATAACCTTCTCCTCCTTCCTCTCCTCCTACTGCAGAGATCTTCTCCTCCTCCAGACTCCTCCTGGACTCCCACATCTTGAACTGGGGTTTCCTCCCCTCTAAGGAGGACTACCTGAGGGTTCTGTGTGAGGCTGATGTTGTTGTCTCCACTGCCAATCACGAGTTCTTCGGCGTCGCCATGTGAGTCACCTGTTTTACCTGTGCCAGGGTTGATCTCATGCAACTTTATACAGATTTACTCTCTGGTGTTCTGCAGCAAGAAGTTCCTATAGACAGAATAAAACCATAGTTTAATTATAATGTGAGTGTGACCAAACAGCAGAATTTTAAAGTAAAGGTCTTAGTTTTAAAATACAGAAATAAATTGCACGTGACCCCCCCCCACAGATTTCTGTTCTTCTACAGAGTGTAAAAGCTGAGGCTTTTATTTTGTTGACATTTGCAGACACTTTTATGATGAAGCTTTTATTTTGGTGAACTGTGTCCCAATGCTGTTGTTTTGACCAGCTGTATGATGAAGATTTTATTTTGGCGGGCTGTGTGCTTCTGTTGTTTTGATGGGCTGCATGATGAAGCTTTTATTTTGGCAGGCCATGTCCTGGTGCTGTTATTTTGATGGGCTGTAGGCTGTATGAAGGAACTTTTATTTTGGTGGGCTGTAGGATCAAGCTTTTATTTTGGTGGGCCGTGTCCTGTCATTTTGATGGGCTGTATGAAGAAGCTTTTAGTTTGGCGGGCTGTGTCCTTCTGTCATTTTGAGGGACTGCGTGATCAAGCTTTTATTTTGGTGGGCCGCATCCTTCTGTTATTTTGACGGGCTGTACATTGTATGAAGGAAGCTTTTATTTTGGCGGACCATGTCCTGCTGCTGTTATTTAGTGGTCATGTCTGAGTTTGTGTCCTTTAATAATTCAGCGTGAGCTGCTGCTGTTCGGGGTGCGTTTGATTCCACTGCAGGCGTCGCAGCGGTCGGTGCAGTCCTGATCTGAGAGTCTCTGCATCCCCCCCAGGCCTCAGAGTCTTCACTCAGGTGTCACATCAAGGACTCTTTGAAAGCGTCCAGAGTCCAGCAGAGTCCTGCAGGTGTAACTTCAGTCAGCCCGAATCAGCCAATCAGACAGTTCGGAGCATCCGTGTGATGTTCACCTGATTCATGTCAGCTCTATTGATCCCAGATGAGAGAAACGAGCACACACGAGGACTCTGTAGCACCGAGGAATCCAGCTAATGTTCAGACTGTTCACAGCAGTAATGATCGGGTCATTAGTGATCACATTATTGATCAATTGCTTCAGAGCAGCTGAACTCTCAGGCAGCAGCTCACCTCTGCACTGATTGTTAATGATCAGGTTACTGATCAGTGAGTCACATCAAGGCAGTCACATGACCACATGGTCAAAAGTTCCTCTGCTAAAGAATCCTGCACTAATTACAGCAGAGAAGAAGAAGAGCGCCGTCCGAGGGGGCGAGAGTGCACGCTAGTGTTAGCATGCTAACAGGCAGAGTGCTACTTAATCACTCAGACCTGCTGACTGAACAGGAAACTCAACAAAATAAAAACATCAGCAAAATAAATGCCTGCATGTAGATAGAAGGGGGGAAAGTACAAGTTTATTTTAACAAAATAAAAGCCTCTGTAAGGTGATAACTGAGGGGAAGTCAGTTCTGTTTATTCCTGGTTTCTCATTGGTCAGGACTCTCAGGTAATGGTAGCTGGTACAGGTGTGCAGAATGCTCTGCTCTCTCATTGGCTCTCAGGTGAGTCACATGTTGAATGTGTTGCAGGTTGGAGGCGGTGCACTGCGGCTGCTTCCCTCTGTGTCCGAAGGCGCTCGTTTACCCCGAGATATTTCCAGGTGAGCACACCTGTGTCTCTGCAGCTTCTTCTTCTGCTGTCCTTAAAGGAGCACACCTGAACTGCTACTTGTTCTCTAATGCAGCACAGTACCTGTACTCCACACCTGAGCAGCTCTGTAAGCGGCTGCAGGGACTCTGCAGGAAGCCCGACGTTGCCCGTAGACATATCGTCAAGGTAACAGCATTTAACCGATTAACTGTGTCGTGCGGTGATGACCTCCTCCGTCAGCATGTGGTTCTGATTCTGCAGGTGGACACCTCAGCCTACTCCTGGGCCGCCCTGAAGCCGCGTTTCCAGGATTTGTTGTCAGCCCCGTGTCCCTGAACACACCGCTGCCGCCATCGCGTCTGACCTGTGGCGCCATTGAGCTCAGAATCAGAGCCAACTTTGAGCCCACGAGTCTGGACTCGTTCTGGTCTCCTCAGACTGGGTTCTTGGAGGAGTTCTGTGCTGGACCCACAAAGAGGCCAATTCTTCCTCCACAGGACTGATCAGACTGGACCAGGTCCTGGTCTTGATCCTGGTTTAACTCTGGGTCCTAGTCCTGATCCTGGACCTGGTCCAGGATTCTGAAGTTTGTTTGTGGTTCTGCTGAAGATGCTGTAAAACCTTTCTGATATGTTTTAAATGGACTCGTTTGTTATTGATAAACATGACATAAAATCAGAATTAACACAATCACACGTTGTGTTGTTATTCAGCTATAGAAGCCCATT